AATCATTATTTTAATCTTTGTTGGAGATAAATTTGAAATGTATAAGGAAGGGCAGCTGAAGTTAGGTGATGGGTGGGTGTTTGTCTTACATTGTTAAATATAAATTATGTTATGCATATGTTAATGTATATTTAAATAAAACTGAAAAACAGCCAGGTCTTATCAAGTTGTTTTACCCTCAAAATGTAAATATACACAGTTGTGCAAATCTTTATAACTTTGTAACTAAGAACATAGACTCGAAGGGACTTCCTGGGTCACTGAATCCAGTCCCCTGCTATCAAAGGCAACCAGGTCATATGATCTCTTATAAACTTATCAAGCTTCATCTTAAAACCAGTTAAGTTTCTTGCCCACACTACTCCTAGTGGACTTCACTCCTCTAATGGTTAGAAACTTAGACTTCTAATTTCTAATCTAGATTTACTCCTAGCTAGTTTATACCCATTTGTTCTTGTTTCAACATTGTCCTTTAGCTTAAAAAGCTCTTCTCCTTCCCTGAAGTTTGCCCCCATGATGTGTTTATAGAAAGTAGACATAACTGCTCTTGGCTTTCATTTTGCTAGGCTAAACAAGACAATCTCTTTCACTTTCCTCTCATAAACTAGGCCCTCCATTCTCTTGATCATCTTAGTAGTCCTTCTGTGCCTCTGTTCCAAATTTGAATTCATCTTTCTTGAACATGGGTGACCAGAATCAGACACAGTAATCCAGGAATGGTCTTACCGGTGTCTTGGACAATGGCATTAATACTTCCCTATCTCTAGTGGAAATACCCGATACATCCTAGGACTGCATTTGTCTTTTTTGCAGTTATACCACTGCAAATTGGTGGTTCATACTCACTCACCCTGTGATCAACTAATACACAAGGTTTTTCTCCTCTGCTGTTGTTTCCAACTAAAGAGCCCCCCATCTTACAGCAGAAATTCTTGTTATTAATCCCTAAACGCATGACCTTGCATTTTGTACTATTAAATTTCATCCCATTTCTATTTCTCTAGTCCTCAAGGTCATCCAGTTCTTCCTGTAAGATATTCTGATCCTCCTCCAAATTGACAATGTTTCCCAACTTTGTGTCATCAGCAAATTTAATTAGCACACTCTTTTTGTGTCAGAGTCACTATTGAAAATATTAAATAAGATCAGTCCCTGAGGAACTCCACTAGTAACCTCCCTCCAGCCCAATGGCTCCCCTTTCAGCACTACTCATTGTCCTCTCCCTTTTGGCCAGTTCCTTACCCACCTTACAATTCTTGTACTAATCCCCATATTCTCCATCGTAACTAATAATTAAGGCTATGTTTTAGTCATGGGTATTTTTAGTAAAAGTCAAGGACAAGTCACTGGCAGTAAGCAAAAATTCTCTGTGACCTGTCCATAACTTTCACTATATACCCCTAACTAAAACTTGGGGGGAGTCATAGGGTGGCGGTGCTGGGGGCTTGGTGCTGGGGAGAGGAAGGGGCGTGTTGCTGGTGCTGGGGGGGCGTTGGTGGGGCTCGCAGGCTCCCTACCAGGCTCCATGTGTCCCCCCAGTTCCAGACAGGGAGGCTCCTGCTGTTCCCGCCACTAGCACAGGCTCCATAGGCGCAGCTCCCATTGGCTGAGAACCACAGCCAATGGGAGCTGCAGGAGCGGGGCTTGCGGGTGCAGGCAGTGTGTGGAGCCCCCGGCCCCCTTTTCCACCTATGCCAGTGGGAGATGGGGAGTCTCCTCCCCGAGGTAAGTGCTCACCCCCTGCCCCTATTCCTGAGCCCCCTCCCACACATCCAAACCGGCTCAGGCAGCCCCTGAGCCAGCACCGGCTGCTGCAGAAGTCACAGAATCCGTGACCTCCATGACAGACTTGCAGTCTTACTAATAATTTCCCATGTAGCACTGTATCAAATGCTTTATTGAAGTCTAGATGTATTCGGTCTACAACATTTCCCTTGTCTAGAGAGTTATTTACATTATCAAAGAAAGATATTGATCAAGTTAGTCTGGCAAAGAGAATATTCGCAGCTTTCCAGTGGAGCGCACAGCACTTGGTTCTAGACCTGAAAAACCCTCCAATAATAGAATTTTAAGTCATGGCATTTTTATTCATAAAAAAGCTATATTAGGTTTTAAAACCTCTAAAAATTGCATACCTTTTTTTCTCTGACTCACACTTGAGAAGCAAAGGGGAAAAGTATGTGCAAAATAGCACCCAGACATTTTTTTAACACCCTAAAAACCTTTCTCAAATGCATTTTCTGTAAAGTATGTGACAGGCATAGAATTACACAAACTATGATGAAAGAATGTTATCTAGACTGCAAAGACTAGAGGCATGTCTATACTACAAACTTAAGTCGACATCAGTTAAGTCGACATCCAGCCGCCGCAGTAACTAAGTCAGTAGTGCCTGTCCACACCAGTGCACTGTGAGCAGCTATACCACAGTGCAACTCGCCGCAGGGGGTTTTGACAAGACCTTGCAATGCCTCCCAAGGGGGGACTGGGAACAAGGCTTCAATGTCCCATGATGCAGTTTTCTCCCTCGCTCCCCGATTTCAACTGGAACCCATCATATTTTGTGCCTTTTTTTTGAAAGGCTGGCATGGCCACACATAGGCCATATCCCAAGAAGCATGGCCCGCGCTCTGCTGTGCACTGTTGTGAGCATTACAAGATATCACATGCCTTACCCTGCAGTATTTCCAGAGCTAGGAGGGGAACTGCTGCACGGAACATGGCAATGTACTTCAAGAGCCCTGCTGGAAACCATAGAACAAAACAATTCCCAGTTGCTGCTGGCAGTCGCGCAGCAGCTGAATGCAGTGGAGTGCCATTTCTGGTCCTGGGAGCCAAGCACTGAGTGATGGGATCGCATTGTTATCCAGTTATGGGACGACGATCAGTAGCTGCAGAACTTTTGTATGTGCAAGGCTGCTTGCCAGAAACTGTGTGCGGAGCTCTCCCCAGCCCTGCACTAAAAGGAGACCTGCTCTGATACTGGAAAAGCGAGTGCTGAACACTGTATAGAAACTTGCAATGCCAGATTGCTACTGATCAGTGGAGGAATCAATGTGGAGTTGGTCAATCCACTGTAGGGCCTGTTGTGATCTAAGTAGTGATCCAAACAGGGCCATTAATTGCCTTTTGCTCAGAAGGGTAGTGACTCTGAGAAATGTGCAGGAGATACTGGATGGTTTTGCCGTAATGGGGTTCCCTAACTGCGGTGGGGCGATAGATGGCACGCATATCCCTAGCTTGGCACCAGACCACCTTGCCAAAGAGTACATAAACAGAAAGGGATACTTTTCAATGGTGCTGCAAGCACTGGTGGATCACCGGAGTGTTTTACCAATATCAAGGTGGGATGCTCCGGGAAGGGGCGTGCACACGCATCTTTTAAGAACACGTGTCTGTTCAGAAAGCAGGAAGCAGGGACTTTCTTTCTGGAACACAAAATAACCGTTGGTGACGTTGAAATGCCAACAGTGATCCTGGGAGAGCCTGACTACCCCTTACTCCCATGGCTCATGGAGCCGGACACCAGACACCTGGACAGCAGCAAGGGTCGCTCAACAATGGGCTCCAACAAGTGCAGATTGGTGGTTGAATGGGCCTTTGGCCATTTAAAGAGTCGCTGGCACAATTTGCTCATTAGACCTCATTGAAAGTAATATCCCCATGGTTATAGCTGCTTGCTGTGTGCTCAGTAATATCTGTGAGGCAAAGTTTCCACAGGAGCAAGGCAGGGAGGCAAATAGGCTGTCTGCTAATTTTGAGCAGCCAGATACCAGGGCCATAAGATTAGCTGTGCAGGAGGCGCTGGAGGGGGAGGAGTGGGAACAAGGCACGCTTGGGGGAGGGGGTGGAACTGGGCAGGAAGAGAGGTGGTGGGGGTGGAGCAGGGGTGGGAAGAGGTGGGGTGGAGTGAGGGTTTGGGGCGGAGCAGTGGTTGGGCACCCCCTGGGGCAAGAAGGAAGCCAGCGCCTGTGCCTAATACCACGACTTCATGTATTTTGTAGGTTTGTAAATGTAGAGTACTTTCCTATATTTATAAGAAGGCACCTTTCGTTAAAAATCTATTTAAAATATGCTGGATCATTTCTATTTACAAAGTCACATTCTATACTAGTAATCTGATGGAGCTGGGGATTATTCAGAAAAGATCTCTGTACTGTGTTTAAAGCAAATACGACATACTGAATGCTTCAGGTTGAAGGAATTAAATATATGGCTTATTCATTTCTGAAATATATGATTATTCCCTTAAGCCAGGCACACTTTGGGAGGGCTGAACATAGGTAGTCAGCTCTTTCTTGTCTTTGTATTTTTTTTTATTTAGGTTTTTCAAAAATATTTTCTAAAATAAATGAGAAATGAAGGTCTTTGATTTCATATTTAAACATGCTGGTATTGATACTGTTGATAGAAAATCCTGGTAAAGAGAGGATAATCCTTTGAACATTCCTTCCTGGAAAGAGTAATTTTGCACTTTTCCCAAGACTTGGCTTTCTGTAGCAATTAATTTGAAAAGCTTTTTTGTCTGAAGGTGCATTCTCTCATGCTATGTACTTTAGTTAAAATTTGTATAATATTTGGAGTACTTGGCATTTGATTTGTTGGGAAAAGTGAGAATTCTGGATTAATTTAAAATATTTAACAGAATGTATGATTTATCATGAGTTATAGTGCCACTTATTCAAACTTCACAGAAATATTTGCACAAGTGTTGTGGTTCCCAGAGTCTCCTATTGAAAATGCATGGGAAGCACAGAAAATCCCACAACCTCTCTAAACTTTCCCATGATATCCTGTACATTTTGAATGGATGGCACTGTGTTCAGTAATTTTTTTTTTAAATAGTTTGTTTGCTAAACTTGTACATAAAACACTGTGAGGCTTGTAGTTTAACACAGATATTTTAACCATGTTATTGTATATAGGCTGTTGGATTCAGTTATGTTGAACACTAACAAAGTAGCACACGATTACAGTATTCTATTTCCTTTTGATTTCAGCTTTATGACAAAATTAACACAAAATCTTCACCACAAATCAGGAATCCTCCAAGTGATGCTGTGCAGAGAGCCAAAGAGGTAAGTGGTTTTGAAATGCATTTGAGACTTTCAGACTTTTATTTTGTTTGTTTAATGTGAAATTATTTCATCATAGATACAGTGCTGATGCTCTAGTCTGGCTCCTAAATTTACCTGACTCTGAAAATATTTTTACCCTTGGTTATATGGCATGCTTTGTAAATTTATCATTTCCCAGACTGTAAGGAATGTTTTCATTATGAAGCCTCATCATATAACCTCTGACTTGTCAGTAGGAATATAAAAAAGAGGAGCTTTGTCCTTGGACAAGTGTGATCATTTGCATATATTTTATATTCAGTGGGTTTGAATACAGCAAAAGTTTGAAGCTTGTATAATTTCTTAAATAACACTTTTCTTTAGAAATGTCTATTAATCTAATCCAGATTTGCTTGCTATTTATTGTATCTGCAACAAAAGTTAGTTTAATGCCAAAAAGCGGGGAGGAGGGAAATCAGATGCAGAGCAGTATGACATATGACTCAAAAAGTCTCACTGACATTTCCCTGGAAGGTTTCTCTCCTGTTTCCCTAACTACTTTTTATTGAAACATGGCTTTGTGCCAGATTGGCAGACTTTAACAGCCTAGGTATACCTTCTGAGCAGCCCTCACAATTTTACCCAGTGAGACATTTTATGTCTTTGTCCATCTAAATCTATCCCTTCTCCCACTTCCCCACATCAGTCTTGTATACCTTCCATCAAATTACTCTTATCCAGCCGCACTCATGCTTCTCTGGAACCCTATGGAGTAATTGGGGGCTGCTGGTTCCTGGCCCCAAGAAGTATCAGTGTGGCACAGCCGAGTCTGGAAGGTTAACTGCTCCTAGAGCCTCTTCAGGTCAGGAGCCTCTCAGAGGAGCCTGTGCTTGCAGCTACAGGCAGAGAAAAGGAGGTAGAGGGCCCACAAAGAGGCACCCCTACCAACTCTGTAGAGAGCATTACTCAGCTTCCCTACAGCAGTGAAGAAGTGGTGAGCTGTGTAGGGGGAGCTGGCCATACAGTACAATGCAAGCACAGGGGTTCTCCCTGTGTTAGAGGGCGCAGACAGGTCCACTGACAAATGCCTATGAGCCCTGCAGCACACTTTATACCTGAATGCCTTTGTGACCAGGGTGGGGGCCACACTGAGGTTGCTCAATTAGGGAAAACTGCAAAGAATGGGGAAGACAATCACTAAAACTGGTGGATGTTCCAATACTTAGATTACCAAGCCAGCACTAAACAGCTTCTACAATGCCTTACTGGTTACAGAGAAGCCAAAACACAGTTCCCTTAAAAGCAACCCAGCCTTTGAGCTTCCTCCCAGACAGCCGAGTCAAATGTGAAAGTTCTACCAATCCCAAAGGATCGGACACATTATCTCCCAGGGTAATAAATATTTCAGATTTTACCCAAATACACACTTACATCGAATTCTTATTAACTAAAAAAAATGAGTGTGAGAGTATTGGCTAAAAGATCATTATACATACAGACATGAGTACAGTTCTGAGATCAGTTTCGTAATAGAGATGGTGAGCTTTGGAGTTGCAAAGAGATCTTAGAATTAGTCCATAGTTTCAGTCCAATGTTTCATATCCAGAGCGATCCAGATGGGACTAGAGATCTCAGTCTTACAACTCAAACTTCCCCCGAAATAGAGCTCAAGCAGATCCAAGATGAAAGGATCAGGTCCCAAGAGTCCTTTATACAGTTTTCTGCTAGGTTATGATAGGCTCTTCACAGCAGGTGTTCCTTGGGTGAAGAATAGCAGCTTTGAAGTAGAACTACCTGGTCTCTATGCATACCCAAGTGACTAGTTGCATTCATCAGCATAAGGTAATTATCCATTAAGCAGTTTATAAACAATTAACCACAAACCTTAAAGTGAAATATAGACAATGAGCTTATCACACCTACGTTTCATCTAAATGTTAATATTTCCTTTTGACCTCTGAATCAATAGCTATAATAATACACAGGAACTGTCTATTTACATGGCTAACATCTAACAAGATATAAGTAAACACATACAATTAGTATTACCTCCAATTCTCTAACAATACAGGATTGCATTTCAAAACTCTAGTCTATTTAACATAACTAGGTTAACTATTTCTAAGGAATAGTCCTAATTACCATTTATATACTTCTCTAATATGTCTTTAAAGGTTGAATCTGCAAGCTGTTTAACCCTTTCTGGTCATGTCTCACAGCTTTCAAGTACCTTTAGTGATCCTAATTTCGGTTCTCAGTATTTCCCTACAAAACCAATAGAGCTTGGCGAAAATGTCCCTACACAACCAATACATGAGGGCAATAAAGTATGCTCTGCAAAAATCAGACTGGGTTGGGAAATTACTAGTAGTTGCTAAAAGGTATATGTGTGAAGAAATACTTCCTTTTGTTTGTTTTAGACTTGCTACTTATTAATTTCATTTGATGACCCTTAGTTCGTGTGTTATGAGAAGGAGGAAATAACACTTCTATTTATTTTCTCCACACCAGTCATGATTTTATAAATCTCTATCATATCACCCCTTAGTCGTCTCTTTTCCAAGCTGAAAAGTCCCAGTCTTATTAATCTTTCCTAATATGGAAGCTATTCCATACCCGTAATCATTTTTGTTCTTTTCTGTACCTTGTCCAATTCTAGTATATCGTTTTTTTGAGATGGGGCGACCATATCTGCATACGGTATTCAAGATGTGAGCGTACCAGGGATTTATATACAGGCAATCTGATATTTTCTGTCTTATTGTCTATCCTTTTCCTAATGATTCCCAACATTGCAGACACATTAAAGTTGAGGCTGAAAGTTTAGCCCAAAATTAATGTTTTAAATAGATGATTACCACAAGATGAAGGCTTCTATGCAGTATAAAATATATCGCATGAAAACAATCCAGTATTCCTTTCCCAGCTGATGTTATGTTTTACCAATTTTGATCTTATATACCTTAAAAACAAGCAAATTATCCCTTACCAGGCACTAAAAGAACCTTTGCAGGCACCAAATTAATCATTTTGCAGTTTACTTAGAAAAAAGAATGGGAAGCTTGTCAGTATCTGAATTCCTTTAATTTTGTTAATTCCAGGATGGCGCACACGTCTATTTTTAGCACAGAAAAATAAACATACTCAGAAAGTTAAGGCAGCAGCTCCAGTGTGGAAATAAGACTCAAATGTGCATTTCAGAAACTTCTAGAGCATATGGAATCTATTCTCCTTTTAAGTCCTGTGTGGTTTATACATGTAACTACAACCTACCAGGGCCAGCCTTATGGATAGGCGACATGGGTGATCGCCCAAGGTGCTGTGGTCGGGGCTGCCGTCCAAGTGCCACAAGCTGGTGAGCCTGGTCTAAGTGTGGGAGAGCCAGGGGACTGGAGCCCCTGGCCAGCCAGGCCAGGAGGGTGAACAGGCCCGCCTGGAGCCACCAGCCTGGTGGGGAGGTGCAGGCAGCGGGGCTTGCCCCTGCCGATCCAGCAGGCCAGCCCTTGGGTCCCCCCTTCCCGCAGGCTCTCCTCCTGTTAGACAGTTGTGGGGGCATGGTCAGGGGAGCCCCCGGGCTCAGAAACTCCTCCCTGTGCAGCCCGGCTGGGCTCTGGGGCCAGGAGCTGGTCCTCGCACTGTGCACCCCTCACTGCTGGTCTCAAACTCAAAGAAAGGATGCCAAAATACAAGTTTGCCCATGGCGCCATTTTCCCTACGGACAGCCCTGCAACCTACAATCCACCAGTAAGTGAGACTAGATATAAAAATGTGCAAATACTCAGAATAACTTATTCAGCCCATAATAAGTATAGTGACTCATGCCCATATGACAAAATTGAGTTGTGTATCTTGCACGTTCAACCACGAGAGCTAAAATGCGGCTTTAGCAGAATGCTGGAGTTTAAAAATGCATCCTGTTTACCCTTCTGTGGAAAGATGAGAGAGAGTGATTTGAGGAGGAGATCCTATCCTCAGTGGTGGGAGGGAGGGTTTGTGCCAACCACGTTGCTCTGCAGAATTTCCTACCAATTAATCTCTGGCACCACTGCCAGAAGCAGAGTGCTCTGTTTCCGCCATCCAAACAGCTGACTGTTGAGAATAAAATTGAAAATATCAGACTGTAAGGGACTGAGTTAAAATACATTTCCTTTTTTGCCCCAGTCATGAGATGAAATGCTCTTTTCTTTTTATAGAATCGTGAGTTTTGTGGTGGTATAACAGATGGACTGTCTACGGTTCATATGTTTTAACCATTTAATTTGCAGAAACTGTTTTAATCTGGATAATTCAAGATTTTATACATGTTTCTAATTCTATTTTAATGTTTCTTAGCCCCTATTCAGGCATGGAAGCAGAGGTTGATAAGAGTGACTTATATAGTTGCTGGTTAACACTTTACTTCTGCAGTTGCAATAATGACCTTTTAAAGACTATTTTCAGTTTGAGAAGAGAGACTTTCTTTAAATCTGTTCTTTCATTAGCAAAGAGAGACATTAATATGTGATATTTTATTCTTTTTGAAAAAAGTTCCCATTCTCAAAGACCCTTTACTGTCATAACCCATTGATCGTGTTGGTGCTACAGGGATTATGACTAACCAGAGTAAAGTATGCTTTTTACAGTTTTGTGAAAGAATAGAGAGCAGTTAGCCTTACTGACATTTGTGCTGTTTGTTTTGCAGGTATTGGAAGAAATTTCATGTTACCCAGAGAACAATGATGCAAAAGAGCTAAAACGTATTTTAACACAACCTCATTTCATGGTAAGCAAATACTACTTTGGCTGTCCTTAAAAACATTCCTCATGGAACGTCAGCCAAGAATGTACTATCTAAAGCCTATAAGCAACAAAACAAAAGTATAGTTAACTGCACACAAATATATATTTAATCAGCATTTTTAATGTGCTAAGCTAGCACAGCAGCTGATATTGTTATGGGGCTAATGCATAGTGCTTGCTACACTGAGGGACCATTGTTTGTTTGCTGCTTGTCATGAGGAGAATTGCAGTTTGCAGACAGAAGAACAGGAGGACTTGTGGCACCTTAGAGACTAACAAATTTATTAGAGCATAAGCTTTCGTGGACTACAGCCCACTTCTTGCAGACAGGGCTATTTTGCAGGTTTGAGCTCACAGATAAGGGTGTTATTCCTTAAAATGATTGTTTTTTTAAAGAAAATAATAAGAGAAACTAGTAAGAAAAATCTAAAGAGACTGGCAATAAAGGTAACTCAAATCTAACAGACATCAGTAGCATTGAGTGAACACAGTCACAAAGCAATGGAACTGTTCATTACGAAATCTTACAAAAATAGGGTAGATTGGAATCCTTTTTTAAACAAAATCAGTTCATGTTGTTAGCAGTGACATTCTTTGGCTCAATAGCCTGTTAAAACTATTTCACCCAGCCTAGTAGCTCTGTGGTTTGTCCTTCATACTACCACGTGATTAATCTAGGTTAGATTCCCAGTTCCGGGGACTTGTTTTGGGAGCTGAGAGGGATGTAAAATGGAGAAAGGAACCTGTGGATGCCAGGAAGACATGGTGAGGATCCTCCTTTCTTCCAAACCTGTGTTGGGCAAAAATGTGTTTATTCGCTTTTAGAATGTTTCCTATATTTAAATCTAGATTGGGGTGAGTCAGACGGGTGATACAGTTCAATGAATTTGGAATTTTGTACCTAAGATAAACTGTCTGGTATATTTCACACATTTTTATTTTGGGGGCAGTGATGGCCTTATGTTCAGGGGTCTGAGCACCCAAAACTCTCACTGAAATCACTGTGTGTGTCTCTAACCCAAAGAATGAATGTAAGGCGTTACCAAGATTTTGCCCAGCTGAGGGCTGAATTGGCAATTTGCGCGCACACAAAAATTAAAAAAAAAAAAAAACAAACCAACAAAAGACCAAACCAAGAAAAACAAGACACCAGATTTCATAAAATAAAGACAAATTGACAACCACCTTAATTAATA